GGGGGGGGGGAGGAGGGGGGGGGTTTGGGTCCTTACTTGCAGCTTGGCGATAAGTAAAGATCACACGGAAATTTCTCCACGTAATCGCACATCAGGCTTATGTCCAATACATCGTACCCGATGTACAAGGCTCTCTCCCTGAACCCCGGTGGGTAAGAGCCTTCTTCAACCTCAGCCGACTGTTGTGAGGACCAGGGAACGTCCACTACAACTTTGGTTGGGGGGGGCATATATTATTGCGCGAGTAATCTTCGGTGAGGGAGACACTTCAGTAGCCAGCGGGGCACGGGAGATTAGCCCCACGGGAGATTGGCCCCACGGGAGATTAGCCCCATCAACGAGGGGAGGAATACCAGCATGTTGGCTCATGAAGCTTGCCTTACTTGAACCACTCACTACCGTAAATCATCTTCCTTTCGAGTCCGCAGTCTACCCGAAGTTCGTCTCCGTTTCTTTCTTCACCCGGGTACCTCAATCTACTGGGAACATAAGCGCTCATGGCGAAGCCGTTTGCGTTATCGGCCATGCCGAGGACGCTTAGGGCGCTTTCTTTGTTCTGGATATTCAAAGGCAAGTATGCCGTGAGACTGTAGTCCTCTACCAGCTCTATCACATTCTGATGAAATTCCGCGAACAGCTGCTCCTTACTCTTTGAATCATCACAGCACTTATTACTAACAACTGGAGATACCTGATGAGCCAATGGAAGAATATATCCCAAATCTTCTGCTCGAGAGAGAAACTCCAGACTTACATTATGTTTGTTCTTCAGGTCATTCTCTTCATCCAACAAATCAATTTTGGTAAACACATTTAGAAAGGGTAATTCCAAACTCAACTGAGCACTTAAAGATATCAGTAGAGCTGAGATGTAATGATTCAGATCAATACACAGGGTAGAATCAATCAAATGGACGGCAACCAACTAGAAATACATAGTGTGTTATAAGTATAACGCGTGTGTCCCGCAACGCGTGTGTCCCGCAACGCGCGTGTCCCGCAACGCGTGTGTCCCGCAACGCGTGTGTCCCGCAACGCGTGTATCCCGCAACGCGTGTATCCCGCAACGCGTGTATCCCGCAACGCGTGTATCCCGCAACGCGTGTATCCCGCAACGCGTGTGTCCCGGCGTCGGGTTACCGGCGCAAGGTAGAATTACGTACCCTTATACCGTAATCTTTATCGGCCAGAGCATGAATGATATCATGAATAGAATGATCGACGGTATATAGTTCCACTTGGCCTGGCATATCGAACAGCATGTAGGCATGAGTATATCCTTTCTTCTCTTTCGCTTTCTTGATTTGATCTTTCAACCAGCCAACATTTTCACTTAAATATTTGTTGCAATACACCAGACCACCATTAGGTCCTAGATTCTGCTCCTTCATGACCTGTTCTAATGTTATTAGGTCTCGTACATCCACGTCCGGATCTGCAAAGTCCACAATTTGGCCACCCTGACTCCGAAACTCCTTCTTTGTCACCCAATCATTAGCAACATCCAAATTTATAACCAAATGGGGACGCTTGAGTGACTCCAACAACTGACGCATGCCTTCACAGTACGTCGTCTTCCCACTACCCGGAGGACCCACCACCAACTGGCCGTACTCCACCATCTTTTTTCGCCCGCAAAATCGACCGCCCCAACAGCTGTCCCAACAGCTGTCAAAAACTCACATAACCAATGTTGTTTCACAACAAACTAGCGGCCGCTAGAAAAGACGCTCCAAGCGGCCGCGGATTCGATCCCATAACCAGCATTGCTGGTCCGATTACCAGCATTGCTGGCTGCTCCGGTCCTTGTGGATAGGGACTTGACCTGCTGGGTTTCTTCCGTGGCACCTTTGAGCATTGACTGGTCGAACTACAGGTTACTGGTTTTAGAATTTTTGATAAATGTCCGAAGTTTTCGCACTTTCTACCAAACTCAACGAAGTGCAATCCGAGATAAAAGAGCTAGAGTGCTTTCCCATTCACACACCCTTAGCGTCCTCCACACCTTACCATCCTAGCTCCCCCTCCCCTGCCAGTTCCGGCTTCACAGAAACTGTTGATATTTGCAGGCTGGTATTGAGCACTCTGAAAGAAGCTGACGAAAGCCGCAAATGCTTCCGGATGGTCGGTGGTGTGCTGGTGGAGCGCACTGTAAAAGAGGTGACGGGTGCCCTTGAGCAGTCGAAGACGGCTATGGTGGCTGCAAGCGAGCAACTTACCAAACAACGCGATGAACTGCTGGCGAAAGACAACAAGGCCGCCACCGCCACCGCCTAGCGGGTTTGAACCCGTAGCCCACTATGACTTATTCCGAACCACCAGGCACTCCGGACGGCGACTACATTTAACAGTTCGCTAAGTACCCTTCGCTAAGTACCCTTCGCTAAGTACCCTTCGCTAAGTACCCTTCGCTAAGTACTGTTCGCTAAGTACTGTTCGTACTTTAAGGCGCTGGACATGCTTTGCAGTTCGGTGGTATACTGCTCAGGCTTCGAGACGCACGCACTCGGCGGTGATGGTTCTCTGACTGCTTAAAGTTCTCTGGCTGCTCAAAGTTCTCTGACTGCTCAAAGAAAGGTCTTGGCAAAGTTTCAAAGGTCTTGGACATCAAGGAATATCACCACGCCGAATATGCATTATTCCACGAAAGCTTGCACCCGCAACAGCCTCGGGTTGGTTATTTTGTTTCGGGAACCCGTGCAAGGTAGATTCCTCATCTTTTGTTCGATACAGACCGGCTCTCTTTCGAGAGTGCAACGCTGATGGGGTGGGTTAGAACTACCCGTTTCGGATCTCCTTTAGTCGTGACTAGGGGTGCCGCCTTGAAAGAGCGATTGCTGCAGCCGTCTTGCTGCCAAGTGGGCTAATTTACTTCGGCGCAAAAGGGGAAGTCACCATGGATGCATGGGGAGCGTTTCTTTCAGGCAGGAAAAAGTTACCGTTGTCCTAGACATAGCGAAGGTTTGGTCTTTATAATTTAAGGTCGGCATCTTCCTCATACACGCGTGCCATACGTCATTGTCATACACACATTCAAGAACACATTGTCCCCATGTGTCCCGCATAGTATCTCAATTGCTCCCACAAGCTGTGCTCCAGGTCGTTATACATTCCGGCGATCGAGGACACTGTAGAACACTGCAGTCCCGAAGCAACCATTAACAGAATGAAAATGTTTGCTTGGGATCAGTCTGTAGCGTGCAAGTCGATTGAGTTTACTCGTTGTTCCTTTTGAAGTCTTTGCTCCTTAGTCGAAACGTTGCTATAGTTGTTGCGCTACCCAGATGGTAATGGGCCATCTGCAGGTTCGGGAAGCGGCCGTGGTCATCGGCAGTAATGGCCTGCAGTCTTGTGTTACTCGATCGCCGGCGACGCGAGTAGGTATGTGAATTTAGGCCGGTATTTAAGTTCTGTGAGCTTGGTCGACTAGCGTGGTAATCCAGCGATCCACTACGGTGAGGTAGCGGCCGTTCCTCGAATGAGTGCCGGTAGTGCGTGACAGCATCGCCCCTTGGATCCTGCGCAACTCCTCTGGGTCGACGCTATTTGCCTTGGCCTCCAGCAGCTCGACTCTGACGCCGCAGATAAATCATCCAGAACTCCGATGCCGGGCCCGCTCCACATAGTGGGCCAGCCCTCTACGCGCAGTGAAGTTGGTGACGAACAATTATGACGACAGATGCTGGTACCGGCAGCTATGGGTTGTATGTGAAACGGCGGTGGGCAAAACCGCGGTAGACACAGAGATCCTAATAGACCACTAGTACCACGTGAGCGGGCTGCGAGCTCTGCAAGACTTCAGAGCGGCGGAAGAAGAGCTGCGCCACATAGCGTGACCTCACTGTAGTTCAGGGCTCAATTTTAACAGCTAAAGCTGCACTCGCTAGTCTGCGCTCTCCGCGGGCGCCTGAGACATCCTCCGAGCCCAGACAGCAAAGGTGCTGCCGCCACGGGCAGAAAACCACAGGCGGAGAGCATACCCGATCCCCAACTTGTCGGAACAGGTACAGCAGGCAGCAGGACATAAGTACTACGTATGTCTGAACTGTTACCAAGGGCTCTTTCAATGTGCCATTGGAGTGGAGAGCCAGCTTTTAAAGACATTCGTGTCGAAAATGGCGCCGACATTCGGTGTCAAGAGCAGTCCAATCGTGTTTCAAAGGATCAAGGACCAAATCATTGCTAGGATCATCGGCAGCGGTGTCAACGTGTATGTTGGCGACGCCGTCATATACGCAAACGACCTGGATGTGCTGTTCGAAAGACTGGAGCAAGTCCTTGACCGATGTTGTGCAGAAGGACTGTACCTGGAGCTGAAGAGGGGTGATTACTTGAAGGACTAGGTGAAGATGCTAGGCTACTTGGCAAGCAATAGTGGCATCAAATTACATACCAGGAAGGTGGAAGCAATCCGCCAAGTATCAGCCCCCAACAGCATCGTAGAGTTGACGTCGTTCCTAGGCGCGGCGACGGAACAACCCAAAATGCCCACTTCACTCCGCTCCATTCTCTAAACACAACCAGAAATTCAAACCTAGAATCACCTCATCGGAGAATGGGGCGCTCCGTGGCACGCGTAATGCGACATCACACGTCAGCACAGGCGGACGCCATAGGGGGCGTCATTTGGATGACTACCGTACATTGCGGCATGGCGTGCCGGTTAGCAGAACCGACACCACATCAGCAGGCAGCATCACGACGCAGGCGAGCACCACATCAGCAGCAGGCCAATCGATCGCAAGGGATCGTCCGTCTCCGACCTTGCAGGTGGCTCAACCCGTATCCTGGCAGACCAAAACCCCGACACAGAGCCCAATCCACGCAATGAGGTGACCAATGATTCATATCGGAGACGGCCCGTATACAAGAATAAAAGTGTTCTGAATCTTTTTGTATCGAACAGTCTTTCGTATTTATCATGGTCGCTAAGCTTGGCATCAACGGATTCGGACGTATTGGAAGACTGGTGTTCCGTGCTTCTCTTGAGAATGAAGGACTTGTCCCCGTTGCAATTAATGAACCTTTTATGGATTTGGAGTACATGATGTACCAGCTAAAGTACGATACTGTCCACGGAAGATTCCCCGGTACTGTCGAGGCCAAGGGTGACAAGCTCGTGGTTAACGGCAAGGAGATTACTGTGTTCCGTGAGAAGGAGCCATCGAACATTGCCTGGGCATCCGCCAAGGTGGACATTGTATGTGAGTCTACTGGAATTTTCACTACCCAGGAACTTGCGTCCAAGCATATTGCCGGTGGTGCGAAGAAGGTCATTATCTCTGCGCCCCCCAAGGACTCCGTGCCCATGTTTGTCATGGGTGTGAACCACACCGAGTACAAGCCTGAGATCAATGTGTTGTCAAACGCATCTTGCACCACCAACTGCTTAGCCCCATTGGCGAAAGTTGTACATGAAGCTTTCGGTATCAAGGAAGGTCTGATGACCACCGTTCATTCCATGACCGCCAACCAGCTTACTGTCGACGGCCCCTCTCGTGGAGGTAAAGACTGGAGAGCCGGCAGAGCTGCTGGTGTTAACATTATCCCCTCTTCCACGGGTGCAGCCAAGGCTGTGGGCAAGGTCATTCCTTCCCTCAACGGAAAACTCACTGGTATGGCCATCCGTGTCCCGACTACTGATGTATCTGTTGTTGACCTGACTTGTTCTCTCGAGAAGCCTGCGTCGTATGAGGAGATCATCGAGGCGATCAAGAAAGCCGCCGACGGTCCCTTGAAGGGCGTGCTTGCCTACACCGACCACGATGCCGTGTCCACTGATTTCATTCACGACAAGGCCTCTTCCACCGTCGATATCAAAGCAGGCATTTCCCTCAACCCCACCTTCGTGAAGCTTATCTCCTGGTACGACAATGAGTGGGGCTACTCTAACAGACTCTGCGATCTCGCTGCTCATGTGGGCAAGACTTGCGGATACTAGTTAAGTTGCGGATGCTAGATAACATGTAATTTTTAGAGTAAGTTAAATTTTGCTGGTTATAAGCAGAAAGAACAACGTAGCAAGAATTACGGCTTCAGCTCAACCTCAAAAATTACTGACGATAGTGATGGGCATGATCGCAACACACGAACAACTGGTTCCAAATCATTACTCGATCCAAAAGTATTGTCTGCTGTCTGTCTGTCTGTCTGTCTGTCCGTCCGGACTAGTCGTGTGCCTTGCTGCTTTTCTTTTGATGCTGGGCGACACCGTAAGAGTACAGGGTGCTGCCCGCCAGCGTTGTAATGACACCTAGCAACTCTTTTTGGGTCATCATCTCTCCCAAGCACACGCGTGCGCAAACAATCTGGAATGATGATTTTACGTAGCCCATCACATTGAGGGTAACAGGTCCTGTTTTTTTGAGAGCACATACCGCTGATATGGCCACAACGGCATTCAACACTCCAGATACCAGCAGCAGAATGACTGGGGGGCTGGTTCGTTGGCTATCTGATGCTGCGGCCTTGAAGGAGATCGCCAGCCAGAGCGCACCGGTGGTGATGAGAGTATAGTGCCCCATAAGAGTAATGGGGGTGTATCCCGTTTGTTTTTGGACCAGTCTAGCTGACATCAGCATGAATACTGCTTGCGATAGGGAGCTAGCTAGTCCTGCGAAAAGACCAACCCGGTCGCACTGCAAGCCTGGTGCGGATATCCCAATGCTTGCCGAGATGACAAAGCAGCCGAGCACACTTAGGGGATTTGTTCGGTAGTTAGGCAAGCACAGCACAGACAAACCCAAGTTAAAGAGGAGGCTACTAGCCTTAGCGACCATGTAACTACCGACACTGGAACTCGAAATGCATATGACATTGGCCCAAATCATGCCGAGGAAAGCCATAGATATGGGGAAAGCATCCACGAGGAGAGACACCCGGAAAGGAAACCTCGCTGTGTTCACCTTCGCCGTGCTCAACTTTGCTGCGTTCCGCTTTGCCACATCCGCCACGCTCGCCGCGCCCTGTCCGCATCTTGGAGTGATCGGCCGCTCTCCAACCGCCCCCGCCGCGGTCTTGTCTGTATCTCCCTGGTGAACGCTGCGCATTTTTACGCTAAGCGCCTGAACGCTGGGGTCCTGCACGCTGGGGTCCATAAAGTCCTCTCTGAACCCGCGGTTCTGCGCCAAGCCGACGTACACGACCAGGACGAGCGTCTGCTGAACGGCAAGTACCACCAGTCCCTTCGGGTACAGTCTCAGGATGTATTTGTTCAGCAGCAAAAACGTCGCTGAGGACAGGCCGTACAAAACCACGGGCACGGCGCGGTCCTGCCACGACCGCGCTCGTGACCAAGCCTCTAACACGATTGGTGATGCCCAATCAATCGCTTTGCTGTAATTCATTCCTCGAAAAATCTGACACCACCCTCGGGGCCGACCCCCGGACCGCGGCCGTCATTCAGTCCAGACGCCGCCAAGTCGGTCCGTACACCAAGTCGGTCCAAATACGTCTCGGTCCTAACGCCATGTCGGCCATGACCCACTGGTCCCACTAATGCGCGGCCATGGCCGCAAGTGCTCCACCTACCGACGGGGCGGTGGTGCTCACCGTGGTCGCCAGCGACTTGACTGCCGCTGCCGCAGTCGGCGCCGCCGTGGTGGCCACCGAAGCGACTGGAGTCGTTGCAGTCGTCGCAGTCTTGGCTGGCGCGACGACGCCCGCCGCTGGTGCCACAGCGGTAAGTGCGGCAGCAGCTGCGGTGGGTGCGACGGTGGCGGTTGTGGAGCTAGCGGACGTAGAGCTAAAACCCGAGGCAACCAGTTCATATTGCTTGGTGTCAAAACTCAGTTTCTTAGCCGTCTGGTGGAACAAATCATTCTCCTGCGCGGCCGTTAGTCCTTCAATTTGCGGATGCGCTCGGAGCTGATACAATTTCTGCATCGCGTCAATATCAGTCGTCCCCTTAAGCATCAGAGTCTCCAGCTGGTGAGTATAGGCAGCCTCTTTCTTGCATTTGGTCTTATCGCTCGCCGTCAGGCAGCTGACGGTCGTCGATCCAGGAACGGACTGCACCAGGTTCTTTGCTCGCGTAGTAACACCAGACACCGCACTACCAATAGACGACAAAGCCGATTGCTCCTGCAGGCTCACACCTAGAGCCACCGAACACACCAGAAGCTGCCTCCAAAACATCCAGCACACGCGTGTGCGCGCATTTATTTGGTCGCTTTGCCGCCAGGAGCCGGCGAAGGAATCCATCAGTTGCCCATCGCTGCGCGGCAAGTCACCAGTCAACGGTTGATAGACCACATTTTGTTTCTTCAGCACTAGGTACGGGTCTAACTTGAACAAATTACGCTAGAACGTCTTCCAAGTCGATTCCGTCGGTCTCTTCGAAAGCTTCCAGCTGCGAGAATTGCAGAAAATGCGCGGGTCGGTGAATTTCATGGCAGAAAGGTTTGGGGACGTCAAGAACCAGTTGGTATTTGGTTTTCTTATTGTACCGAACTCCGGTGAAGGCATAGTTCCAGAACCCTGAGGTCATGCAGAAGCCGGTGAATGTATCGGAGAGGAGTAGTCTGCATTTTTCGTAGAGTTCTGCGGGGTTGAAGTCAGCGGGGTTCTCACTCTTATTGTCCTTTCCCCAAACGAGGCCGGCTGGCGTTAGTCGGTATCCGCTTAATGTACAGCTGCCTTGAGTCAGCGCGACATGCAGTACCATACACGTGTTGGTATCCAGTCTGGTGCGAACATCGTCGGGTCTTCCGGTGGCAACTGCGTCCATGCCGGCTGATAAGAGGGAAGCGGTGTAGCAGACGTCGTGGACACTGGGCGTAGCAACGGAAGGTGTGGTCTGAGCCCAGCCGACCGGCTCCAGTTCGTCCAGTAGTACATGAGAGGGGAACTGGTTTACAAAGTCGACTTGCTCATGAGTACCGGACTGAGGAATGAGGACGAGTGCGCGAATTTCTCGTACATTCGGGTTGTCGGAAGGCGTGCTACCGAATAAGAAAGCTCCAATCCGCGTTCTTAGATCCGCACAACTAACGAAATGTCTCAACAGATTGTTCGGTATCACGTAGGTTACACCAGTTGCACCAGCATCTTGGTCGTCAACGTAAACTTTATTCGCTCGTAGATGTAATGTCGTACTGTGCATTGCCCTTACTCGCCAGTCGGTCTTGGATTGGAATAGCTGTTGTTCATGGGGCGACTGAGTGGTGACGACGATTGTGTCGCCATGGACATTGGTCGTTTTAGTTGTGGTCGCGGCGATCTGGGTTGGCGCTACCCCATCAGTAGCACTGGCTTCAATTTCCGCCATTTGCTGTCTTTGAACGCTTGGTGGAGCGATGTCCATGCCTAGTATGATGTCACGAATTTCAGACTGCGTCAGGGAAGCGATATTTACGTTGTTGGCTTTACCGTAATCGACCAAAATTAAATCAGTCAACGCAACCTCAACCTTGAGCCACTGCTCAACTGTAAGGGTCGGCCATATATGATGTGGGGCGGTAGTGATGGAACGATCTGGTCTTAAGATCGCCTTGGCCCTATCCGGATGAACGTGTAGCGACCTTAGAATCAAAATGAGCCTCGAAAAGGCGGTATACGACGCAATCGTGTTCAGCCAATCGTCGTAGAGGTTAAATAAAACCATGTCAGGCTGCGTAGCCTTCAGGATCAAGTCGGCAAACTTCTCAACCTTCATAATAGTTTGGAACGGCAGCGCTAGCTCACTTCCCTTTATTACAATATTGGGGAAGTCCAATAAATGTACCTCCAACGGATCCAACATACCTTTACGGGTTACAATGATCTGCTTCGGCTGCTCCTCGACCGGCAATGACCTAATCAGAGCGGCTACCTCTTCAGCCGTTTTCCATTTGGCTAACTGGGAAAGCCGCTTCTGTCCGCTCCAAACACTTGTATGAATTATTTTCAAGAACAACTGACCCGTTTTCGGGTTGAAAATAGTGATGGCACCATTGGCAGGCTTCGTTGTTAAGTTCCCTTCGAAGGTTTTGTGGATTGTCACACGGTACACATTCGTGTCGTCAACGAACCAAACAGTTTGCGATGAAAACAGTTCGCCATAATTACTTGACTCCAAGTGCGGTTCTGTAGGCTCAGAGCTGTACAACTGCAAGCCCTTCCTGATTCTTTCACGCAGCACATATAGGGCCGGATTCGCCTTTATAATTTTCTTCATCGCTTTCTGTACTAATGGCTTCAAACCAGGGAACCAGGCTCCGTATCCGCTGAACAAATTATACGCTAAGTCAACTGCCAGTAACAGACCGGTAGGTGAGGGGTATATGGACATATTGTCCGTAGTATAATCTAAGAATTTGGCTCGCGAATAACGCTCTATATCATGCGAGTCGTAATCACCCCAGCGAAGCTGTAAATCTATCCAGAACTTGGTGCTTGAGCCAGAACCTGCATAAATGTCATTGCTGTCTCCAAGTAAAGAAGGTTTGGTGGTAACATCCCATTTGTATGATGCTAGCAGCAATATGTCTGAGCACGATGAATTCATTTTATAGCTCTTCCTAGGATGAATAGTTTCCTTTTGCACCAAATCAATTTGTAAATTATCTAATTCCAAGTCTAGAACTTGACACAAATCCATAACGATGGCTTCGTGTATTTTCTGCCACAAATGTGCTCTGAATATTTGGATTAAAGAAATCTTCAAGGTAGGAATTTTGCCATGCATAAATATACCAGTTAGATCAAGCTGCACTTGGAACCCGATATAAACGTTGGATCTATTAATTGTAGGGGACCACCACAAGGTAAAACGTCTGTTGGGTATCTGATTTAATCCAGATCTTTGAGCATTGGTTAATTTCTTGTATTTCATTGATTCCTCAAATCCACTGCTCTTTTCCCAGAACAAGCCCTCCCAGGTTGAGAAGTATGTGCCGGCAAATAATGTATGTTCTAGAATGCCCTCAACGCCGCCTAATGCTTGTATCATATCTGTTCTATAGTTATTTAAATTCCATAATTTACCATCATGTCTTTGATTTGTCCACCAAAATGGGTTAGAACGTAATAACTGATATTGTTTGAATGATTGCCTTATTCGCCAACCTTTATCATAACTTAATGTATGTCGATCCTTCTGAAATAAGGTGTTAATTCGCGGTATACCACGGTCCCATGAATCTTCGATATCATCTAAAGTAAGCCGTCGATTCTGTAAAATCGCCTCATGACGTTTTATGTTATATTCGGACCACACACGTTGACTTTCCACAAACTCACTCTCCCATGACTGGATATACCGGTACAATACAGGAATCAACTGGTCTTCTTCGTGACTCAGACCAGAGCGGAAATGCGTGATAGAACAATCTGTCTGCTTCATATAACGCAAATCTGACTGCGGTATCAGAATATGACCCATTGACAACATACCAAGACCTCCCAACTCTTTTGGTGTATAAAATACAACGGGCGGGAATCTTGAAGGCATTTTAGAGTTCAAACCTATCTTTATTCGTGTCTGAATTTTATTCTCACATTTTACCAACAGATCCAACAACTCCTCTGTGTATATCACCGCCTCTCGGTAGTAAGTCATGAGCGATATTAAAGCCGTGTTCCACTTGTTCGCTACTTTAGTAAACGTCGCAGAACCCGATGCCATTAGAATCTGTCGCACACGATTCTCAAACACACTAATTCCTTCGTCTTCCACCCTTAAATATGCATAAGCAGTTGTTTCCTTACTCTTATCATTCTGCAAACGCCATACCCCCTCCTTCTTCCCACCAGCACCTCCGCCATCGTCATAGCTGTTATCTAGTCTGCATTTCGGCAGGATTCTAACTTCGAAACCAACCATAGAAAAGAGCAGATTAGGATTATCTTTGGAATAGATGGACACAAAACTGGTTTGCCAATCAAGGTCTGCTAATGATCTGGGCATTCGTTTTTGCATTTCCCAGAACGCTGCCCTTCCCAGATTAACATCATGCTTCATCTTCCGCATTCTACAATCTTTCGGCCAACATTTCTTATTATTATAGTTCACGATATTATCATTATTAGGGTCAGGATTTTCTGTAAGATATCGCTGAATAAGGCTTCGCGATTCTTCGTCATTAAATTTAAACAAGATCCAAAACTCATCTATGTAGCGACAATATAATCGAATGGGGTGTTTGGTCTCTGTTTGGGCATCCGGGAACTGCATAAAGGCATTCGGCTGTCCCGGGGGTCCAGCCAGCTCGCTCGCACGCGTTAATCCCAGTAACAGTAAATCCAAAACGAGGCCGTAGTATTGGGCAATGAAACTACCGAACTGGAGGCCACGAATTAGACCAACATAGTTCACGTGAGCCATATCCTTGAACGTCAGTCGAATGTTGTTCTTGGAACTCATATAATCAGCAATGTTGTGGTCCACTATTAACCGAAGCAGTCTGTTCAGCAGAGTGATGTCAATTTTTTCATACATCTTGTCGAATTTGCTATGCATTAGTGCCAGACAACTTCCATCGTTGCTGCTCCAGATGTCATCTAAGTTATTGATGCCATTACACCATCGGTGCAGCAACAAGGGAGGCGGCTCGCTGTCACAAGGCTTTATCCACGAAGGAAACAGTCGCCGCAAACTCGCTTCGTACCACAAATACTGATCCAAATACGCGTCTGTGATCTTTTCTAGTGGATCGATCTCATACACAGGAACCAGGTGGGAGTAAAGGTCCATAAATTCAATGCTGCTGTCCTTAAAAGCGCGCTGGGTTAGCAAGTGGCGTTTAATACGACTGAGAGCTTCGTGTGGATTATCGAAGGCCTGTTCAATTAAACCCAGCTCTTCACGCTGGATCTGATTCAATCGGGTCTTGACAGCGTAGCTATCTTTCAAGCGTTCCAGCGCTAGTACTAAAAGTTTGGAATCGTGTTTATAGTTGAGAGGCGGAAACGGAATATGAGCGAACTTTCGTGAATCGAGCCAGTGAACGACGGTGGTGTACATGGCTACCGCTTCTTCGCTGGACAAGTAGGGTCCGTCCTTCATGTATGCATGTTGTCGTTCTTGTTCAGCCTTTAACCACAAACGCGTAAGACGCCCTAGATTTTTTTTGCATACAGTTTTATCTACTGTCGCTCCTCGACGAATACGTTCGCGGTTGTGATATGCTGCGTTAGTCCACCAGTCAGCCTTTAGCTTGACATAGCGCAGAATTACGTTTTCTACAGGTGCAGGCAAGCCGGCCACCTTCCATGGTATGTTTGCTTTCCAGCATCTCCAGGCCTCGCTCAGGTGTTGTAGAACCACCCTGGCTTTGCCAGCACGAATACCTTCCGGCATCATATCCACCAAGTCGTGCATGACTGCTGCACGCAATTCCAGATCAAAGTACACTTCTACTCGCTGTTTGGTCACGGTTTTGGCGATGCCCGTGTTTTGACGGGCCTCAAACTGTCTGGCCAACAAGTTTCCAAGCCACCGTTCCAGGAGTGGCAGAATGCCGCGTAAGAAGAACAGCCACACGCGCCATCCAGGAGCCCAGAACCCGCAACCAGGTCCTTTGCCCACTTGGCCAGTATTGAAACGATAATAAATCAGGTGTTTCAAATCCTTGCACATTCGCACTTGGCGCATCAGACGGTACTTATAACGATAGATAGAGGTGAGCTGACCTACGTGTGCAAACACATATTGCAATCCGTCTGCTAATTGGAAGGCATCAATGTTACCCAAACGATACTGAACGTGCGAATCCACGATTAGCTTCGTTAGACGTAAAATTTCACGGCACAAATGAAATGCATTACCGAAACGACTCTTCTTCCGTTCCTTAGTAGTCAATGTCTTGATTGGTTTTAGGTTGAAATTGTAGTCAAGATGAAGATAACTCAGGTTCTTCCGATGAATCAATAGGTTCAACATGTTGTACCCTTGTCGGCAAACTTGTAATCCAATTTCAACCCAGTCTGTTTCGGTGCATTGGAAGAATTTGGTGCCCTTAAATAAACGAAGTAGATTACGTTTCTTCATAGCCTTGGGTGGTTTCGAACGTAAGTGTGATAGTACCCAACATTTCAATAGCTTCTGGTACGATACACGCACCTTAACCGGATAATTCTGAGGACAATGCTCCCGGAACCAGTTCTGGACAATAGGAATGTCAATAGCTCGACGCGTTCGACCAGAACGCAAATTAAACGGTCTCGGAGCCCATATTAAACTGAGTCCCCCGTATGTCGTATCAGTATCCACGGGCGCTTCTCTCAATATGGGCTGGATCTCTTCCGGCAGGGGACCTAAACTATCTAAGTCATTTTCAGTTATTGCCGATTCTATATACACACCCAAGTTCTCATAAACACCACCTCCTGCCTTTCCACCGGTACTGTTGGGCTTATAGTACCTGTAAGCGGGTATGGGATATAGAATCGGGTCGAATACAAAGGCCGGCTGATCTGGGTCTTCTTGCTTGATAAAGGTCACCATCGGAGTATGGTAAGTAGACATGCACACGTTACGAGGACGGTCATTGTACAGGTAGGGGAAGGCAATCTTGTATTCGGTGCGTATCTTTTGTCGGATAATAATTTTGTCCACGTTGTTAAACTCGTTCCAGTCCGTGTCGTCATCGTTAATAATGTCTCTGTACAGTGGCTCGAACTTGGGGCCCCCGGGTATGGCCAGATTCAAGGCTTTCGCCGTCATGAACGACTTGAGGTCGAACAAATAATAGTAGTTCTCATCCAAAATATCTGACCGCAATTGGTGTGCTAAACGGTATAGCACACACATTTGGTCCAGGTCCAACCTCCAACGCCGGTAGCTAGGACCTTTTATGTACTTTGGGTCATATTGCAAAGGCTGGTGCTCATAAAACCAATCTATTACCGGCCCGTCGTCTTCCGCATCCAGATCCATTTGAATCGCCTCCAAAGGCTGCTGGTCCAAGATATTATCCCCGTAGTCCAACGGCGGCTCCTCGTCGTCGAAGGGCGGAAAGCGCATCCTCTTGAAGTGGCGGCGGTCACGCTTCTCCCGACGCATCATTATCCAAGTCGTACCCCATTGCGCCAAAAAAATCGGCTCCACTACCCACGGTATCTCATTCACAAAAGTAATGGCACCGGTCGTATGATACAATACCTTTACATTGCGCACCTGCTCCCAAGGCATCGGCATGTTCTCCAGCAACTTGAAGACCGCATGTGGAATGTACTTCAACCCTCCGATATACGCCCGCTTGTCCTGACTGAACTTCCGACTCGACATGTCTCCATGGTCCGATATTATCTTACGCAACACTTCCGGAGGCATCTCCGCCTTCCGGCGATGTACCGGCGCCCCTCCAGATGCTACCGACATTTAATTACCGCCGATAAATTACCCCAAGCCGCCTACACCACACCAACACCAGCGCAAAAGACCCTCGCATTCGAAAGCGCTTATTTGAATGAGAACTATGTGCTCCGCAATAGTAAAGACCAAGTTCATGGTGTCTACTCGCTTAAACCTGGCGAGCTCCCCAGTCATTTCCTCGTGCGGCGGCGAAAAGGGTTTTGTTACGCGTGGGCCGGCTACTGCTCACAGCCACCCCGAATTTATCCGATTTTGACGCAATTGATGCGCAATATTTAGTTCAGCACACACGTGTGCTGATGATCGAATGGGGCACTTTTTTGGTTGTGTTTGCTGCTTCCCATGCCCTGGATCAAACGAGCACCAACTCGGTGACCGCCAGTTCGGGTGAAATGTCCAACTCTGTCAACTTCCTTTATTTGAGAGATGTGGACGTGCCCTGTCAGGATAAGCGGTCGCTGGATAATCTAGTAGGCATTCGGTGTTGGTTTAATTATCCTTACTGCTAGAACCCGCGCACAATAACAGTGAGTGCTTCTCTCTTGCGCAGCGTCCCCCGCCGATTCCCCGGCTAGGTCTCCATCATCTCTGCAGAATGCTCTGAAATATTGTGCAATAACAACTACTTGCGGGGCCGTCAGGTTTACATCAGACCTGTCAGAGCTGGCAGCTTGTTCATTTGACGATCAGGTCCTGGCTTATCCCAATAAGGGTGACTTCACATTAGCAATACCATCCACCAAGCGTATGCCGCCCATTCATTTGTTCCGCTGCAATCCCTGACAGGATATCCCGCCCACGCGAGACGTGATACCCCACTTGGCTTTTGTTTCAGTGAGCACGTCAGAGTCGTTTGCGCCACAGATAGATCTTTTGGTCACGTGCCCGGACGTGAATCATGTGCCGTACGTCGGTTTAGATGACGCCTTCCACCGGTGTGACCACTATAATTGCAAGTACTTGTCAATCAACCCGAATGCGTCTCAGCCAACCGTGACGTATTGTTCAGGAAGCCAGTTGACGGAACGAGTGACTCGGTCCGGAGCCATCTCCTTCGTCCATTCCGTGAGTGCAGCTGGCGGCGGATCGCGTGCAAGAGCTGCACCGCCTAAACACTCAGTGCTGGCGCCGTGTGGGGCGAACGGACCGATCGTGGGGGATACCCACCACCCGGTTTGGAAGCCAGGAGAAATCGCAGATCCCAAATTATGGATACGACCATCTTCCTAGTGGGCTACATGACCCAACTCGTGGGGTCGGTGGTTCTGCTCCGTGAGATCTGGCACAAGAGGTCCATTTACGGGCTGAGCATTGATTCCCTCGCCGCGCAATTCGTAGCCACTGCCGCGAGACTTGTGTGGTCTTTCGACACACGGATGAAAGAAGTAAACCCATTCTCTCCCGTACCCCCTTATCTCACCTTGTTCCCCTCCCTCTTCCTCTTTCCCTCCCCTTCCCGTTGTTCTTCCCCGTTGTTCTTAGCCGTGCGGCGTTGTTGGGGGCGCTGTGGGCTGTGGCGGAATCCGAGAATTGCCTCTCTGCAGATTTTGTTGGCGCACGTGGAGGTGTTGAGCTCAGCGGCGGTGGGATTGGCTTTGCTGTGGTCGTGTCGGCAGTTCCGACACACGGCTTCCTTCCAGGGCGTGAGGGTCCGCTGGTGGCTGTTGGTCGCAGTGTGTGCAGGGGCGGCGGTTCGGTTCCACCCCGGCCCAGTTGACGAGTGGTCGCTGCAGATGTTGATTGCCTTCACATTTTATCTTGAGGGCGTGGCACTCGTCCCGCAGCTGCTCCTGCTCCGCAAGGTGAATGATGCCGACGGCCTCGCCCGTGCCTACATGGTCCTGACCATTCTCTCTCGCGCAATTCGAATCTTGTTTTGGGGCCTGCTTTACGTCCAAGGCGACCTCTTCCCCGGTCTCATGTTCGCAGACGTTCTCCAAACCCTCATGAGTGTCCGCTACCTGCACGTCTGGTGGAAGTACGTCCGCTCCGGCAAAGGCGGGCTGATCAAGGGCCACAAACTCATATAGGGTGAATGGGCCGGCGGACATCGATGGATCAAATGCGAGTGGACGGATCAAATGCGAGTGGACGGGTAAACTGCGAGTCGACGGGTCAACTGCGAGTGGACGGGTCAACTGCGAGTGGACGGGTCAAATGGGAGTGGACGGGTCAAATGGGAGTGGACAGAATGAAGTTTGAATGGAGAAAATAAACTGCCAGTGGGCAAATAAACGCGCGTGTTGATGGGGACATATGCGTGTGTACAGTGACCGTGACCGTACTCGCAGTGACCGCAGTCGCAGTGACCGCAATCGCAGTGACCGCGATCGCAATCGCAGTGACCGTACTCTGCTAATGACTGGTAGCCACCGCTGCCGCTGCGTTGGTTCTAATGATAGGCAATAGCCACCGCCAGTAATAGTACTCAGTCCGAGCAGCAAGTAATGTGCTTGAGGCTTAATGTACCCGTTGGGCAGTGCTCTCGAAATGTACACGAGAGGCACTGGGCCTGATGGGGGGCCGTGTACTACAGCGGCAATGTACGTAGGGGGGGGTTATGTACCTGAGAGGTTGGGGGTTGTGAGCCCGAGAAATGCACCAAGGGGAAGGGGGCCAGGGGGGGCTATGAAGGGGAAGGATCTCTAGTCTGAAACATTCTTCCTGAGGGATCCCTAGTCTGAAATATTCTTTTGGAAGAGGGTGTAAAAAGATTGTGCTAATGGGACGTTTGAGATTGGGATTGCTATTGGTTTACTGTCTGGGAGCTGTATTGGAATCTGAGTTGGACTTGTCGGCATTTCGATCAAAGAATCATGCGGTAGATTATTTGCTTTTGCGTGGTGGTAAGAACTGTATTAGATGCGATGATATTGAACGGGCTATCAACAGTATTCCAGTCAACATCCCGTTACTGGTATCAAAGTATGATAGGAATGAAATGCCTGTACTAGAGTTGCATTCTTGGAAAGAAACTGGGTATGAAGAAATCCCTTATAAGGGACAGCTAACTGTAAGTTCCATTTTAAACTTTGTACAGAAAGTCTACGGCCAGGATTTGATAAGATGCGAAAGTATGGAAGACTGTCTCAGTAAAATCCCTCAGGGTGAAGTTCCTTTCGTGGGTGTCTTCGGCGGCAATGAAGATAACGGAAAATTAGATCTACTCCGAAAAGCAGTCAATTTACTTCGAAGAGATCAAGCTAGGGCAATTCGATATGCGTATTTCATAGACCCCAATTTCAAAGATAAGTAAGCAAACGTGTGTATGTATTTACCTATGTCTGTGACAAACAAACGCGTGTCCTAAACTTACCTTCAAAACACGCATGTGAAACTCGGGTTGTGAAACTCGGGTTGGTGACCTCCGCCCTGTGCAACTTTCTGTCGCAATCCTCGCTGCACTTAGGTCAGGCGGACAGTTGACAGTGAGCCATCCAAACGAAATGAGGCTTGCTACTCGAATCACAACGCTGGAAGATTTGGTGACTTGGATAAGGAAAGAGCGTGAGCCAATGTTTGGTCGCGTAAGGGAGTACAACGGTGACGGTGACAAGCAATGTCGCGTCTACCTGGTTGGCGACGACGAGACCTTCAAGCTCTACCAGTACGAGCTGCGGCACTTCGCAATGCACAACCGTGACCGTTGCCTCCGAGGGTACCTGAGCAGACTGGATACAGAGTTGCTTCGGCGGTTGCTGGACGTGGACCGGAAGGAGGACGTTGAGGAAATGCTAGTGGAAGGCTGTGGCTCCGAGTGCGTGGTTCTAAAAGTAGGGCCTCTAATCAACTTCATGACCAGAAACATAGCTAGTGAAAAAATTGCGAAAGACGTTGATGACATGCATGCAACATGGGCCAAAATGAAGCGAAACTCGAGCAGTGCTACTACCACTAGAGGCGAGGTCGTCAACAGCGCTGTTAGTCATGTTCACAGCGGTGGGAATCATGTTAAGGCGGGAAGAGATGAATCACGGAATAGTGAACCTCGCGTTGGAGAGACAGTACCGGTTCCCGATCTGTCGGTTGAACATGACAATATCAAGAAGGGTACCTTGAAACCAGTGGATATCGACTCCTTCCGTCGAGACGTGGTGATGGATCCGGGTGCTATTCTTTTGTTGCAGTTTGACCCAGAGGAGGAAGTCTCTCAACAGCTGCGACTGACGTTCTTGGATGTCGTGGCAAGTCTCAGTCGAGAGGTTATAAGTCTCAAGTATTACGAAATGGCGGAATTCCCTCCACCAGACGCCAGATACATTCCTCCCTCCATCCCATTCATTTGGTTCAAACCATTCGGACCAAACGCTGACCCTATTGAAATCCCCTGGGCGACCGACGACCAAGATGAATCGGAATCTGAACGCCAAACCGAACTGATCACCGAATTTATCGTACAAAAGCTTACAGCCAGGAACCTGGTCTATCACGTCCTGCGAACGGCAACCATGGACCTGACGAAATCCTGGCGAGACCTATTACAAAAAAGTCGAGAACTCAAAACTTACCTCAAGACCTTTGTCAGGAACAAACTCAACAGCCTGCTAGCAGACTGACTACAACGCGAAAGCACACCCACCGGTGGGCACACCGGTCGTTAACATCGTCACAGTACATGGGCCGATGGCAAAAGAAATAGTAGCGAAAGGGATCGCAGTTGGATTTCAGTTAGGTAGCTAGGATTGATGGCCCACTTATGCGCTCAACCGACGTAACATGGGTTCCCGGGTTGGGGGCCAACGTGTTGTTAACAGACCGTGAAGCTCACCCATAGCAACGAGATTTGGACCCGAAAGTGTATGTGGAAATCTACATGAAGTTTATGTCTTGGAGGGAGGGGTCTGGATGGTGCCAAAATGGAGGACCGTCCATTATTACGGCACACTACTACGATGATTCACTAAAGGGAAGCTCACCGAGATTCAAGCTACCTAGGGTGGTAACACCTCTTGTTCTTAACAAACGCCACATCTTGATAAACGCCTCTTAAAAACATCTCACGACAGCACCTCTTTGTGTTGAGATATTCATACCTTGTTCTTGATACCGTTTGTGTAGACGGGCTTGGGAACGTACTTGGGAATTTTGTCCCCGAATTGATCCCTGGTTTGGTTGCAAGCTTTCCTGAAGTTGTCGACCCACTGTATGGGTGCCTTCGCAGCTTGCGAGTTGACCATCCATTTGGGCACGACACCCCTTATATCGCACTGCGTCAGCATGATCATGTAGGTATCTTTTTTATTTTTTATCTGAGTAAAGACATAAGCCGAAATCACCGATTCAGCTCGAATGACTGCAGACTTCGTGGACTCCGGGAAAGCGGGATGCTCTGCGGACCGATGCAAAATCCGGCACTCCAAAGCGTCGACCAACGGCAGCGGAGCAGCTCCCAACGCAGGAGGGGACCGGCTGCCGTCCGCAGGCAGCTTAATGTCATTGTACACCGTTCGTCGCCACTGGAGAAACTCGCGATCCGCGACAGGCCACGGAGCGCGAATCGCATTGTAAGTAATCTCGTTCCCCTGGATATCGCCCTCGATCAGACTAAATCCGTCAAACGTCTTGTCCCAAGCCGTACGACGAGGCAAGTCCTTCAGGTTGTACACTATGTTCTCAATCGTGATGTTCTCGAACAACGCGTAACCCTTCACCATCACCAAGTCGCTCCCCTTCACGTCCACAATCTGCTTGTAAATGCGCGTAGTCCCCTTGTTCACCGCGAGCTGCCACTTGCCCAGCGGCTTCTCTGGCAAAAATTGATCCAGCATACCGAACTCATATAAGCCTCTAAGAAAGAACACGTAAAGAAAGAACACACGTGCTAGAAAGAACACACGTGTGCACAAAACGGCTGCGCAGGTCCCACGGCCAGGGAGTGACTGGTACATAGGTATCTTGTGCTTTAATTGCGGGTCAAAATCTTTGAGATCATCGAAGTTCTTGAAGAACCTCTTCTCAGCGCTGGGCTGGTTCGCTTGTTTGCGCGCTGATGTAGAACGTAAAATCTGCGCTCCCAGTCCGTCATTGGTCAACCTCACATCTGAAAAACATCACGGGTACATCGCGGCCGGCCTCCGCGGAGTGCCACGCCGGGGAGTCATGCGACTCGGAGTCACCTGCAGCGGCGTCATCTTTCTTCCACCTGCGCCGGACTGCGCGGCCCCGAGCGGGCCTGATCCCGCCCCCGTCCCCGCCCCCGAGGGCGCCTTCTTCAGAAATCCACCCGTCCGCCAAAGAGCGTCGCCAAGCCGAAAATAAGACTTGGGGAAACCGCTCTCCCACTTGCTGAACGAGTCGTTCGCCGCCACCGGCGAAGCGCTCTGGCTCTTCACCGGTAACGGTCGGGCGCCGCGAACCCCAGCGACCACGGAGCCGCTCTTGCCAGGACTCGCCGCCGTCGAGCCGGCCGGCTGCAGCGACTTGCCCTCCGACCTAATCTCGCCGCCCCCTGGGGCCTCGGCCCGTCTTTCGGGGCGCGGGTTGGAGGCCTTGCGCGTGGAGTAGCCCACAGACGTCGCGGTCGAGGAGTTGCCCCAGGAAGTCGGTGCAGGACTGGCGCGTCCGGGCGACGGCCGAAAAGTCGGCGTGGAGGCCGGGCTCGAGGCCGTCGTGGCCAGGGAGTTGAGGGTGGGCTTGGGCTTGCTCAGCGAGGGACTTAAACCCACTCGACGTGCCCCCGGCCATTCATCCGTCACACGCGCCGAGTCGCCGAACTCGCCCGCCGAGTCGCCCAGGCTGTATGAGGGCCGGAAGTGGGCCAGCTCGGCCAAGCTGTCGTCCGGGCACAGCGAACCGGCCCGACGCGACGCACCCTCCCAGAGCGGTTGCGACGGTACGTGCGTCGACTGCGTGTCCGAGTCGTAGAGCACGCCCGTGCTCTTCGTCACGAGACAGCCTTCGCGCAACAGCACGCGCCGCCGCGCACTTTCCGAACCGTCTTCCCTACTCGGCTTCCGCGTCGCCTCTCTGCTCAGCTTCCTCACGTCCTCCCGGCTCTGCTTCCGAAGGGTGTCCTCGCGGCTTTGCTTCCGAAGGGCGTCCTCGCGGCTCTGCTTCCGAAGGGCGTCCTCCCGGCTCTGCTTCCGAAGGACGTCCTCGCGGCTCTGCTTCCGAAGGACGTCCTCGCGGCTCTGCTTCCGAAGGGTGTCCTCGCGGCTCTGCTTCCGAAAGGCGTCCTCCCGGCTCTGTTTTCTCGCCTCTTCCCGACTCTGCTTCCGAAGAGCGTCATCGCGGCTCTGTTTCCGAACCGCCTCAGCACTGACTTTGCCGGGCGTGTCCCCGGGAATCCTCCGGGGCGTGTCCGCGCCGATCGTGCGAGCGGCCTGCGCCGGATCCGACTTGTGTGCATCGGGCTGTTTCCAAGGCCAGGCGCAGTCCTCGGCGGCGAGGCGCGGCAGGCGCGTCCGATCGAGCGGACCGGATGTGGGCCGTTCGAGCTGACTGATAAAGCTGACGACGTATCCGCTACGCGCCGAG